CTTGAGGGTGGGCTCTTTTGACTTCGACAAGCAAGCAATCACCTAGCAACCATCCAGAACACCCCAAAGACTGCATAGCTACAAGTAAATTAAAAACACTCAAAACACCACAGCAATGCCTTGAAATCAACATGACCACTTTTATACGGACAGGAGCCACTCTTTAATATGTGAAAGTTTTAATGTATCTCATGCCGAACGTAGCCTCTGTTTAAGGTTGCTTAAAAACGTCTCTGATGTTTAATGCATGATTTTAAACTTTCAAATGGCGAAAGTGACAGGTTTGCTTTGGAAATGCTTAACTAACAAAGTGTAAAGTAAATCATTTAGCACTACCTCAAAACAGCACTTTTCACTGACAGTTATGAATATCATCCTGTCTGTAGACCAAATGATCAAAAACAAACTCAGCATTATTATGGAGAGTAGATATTAGAGCTCTGTTCATTTGAGAGACACACAGCTTCTCTGGTGCATAAGACCTTCCAAAAAGTCTTTTGAATTTGATTTAATATGTAATAGGCAAACTGTTTTTAAGGGGTTACTGCTGTTGTGGGTGAAGGTTAAAAAGAAGCTTTGATAATAGAACAAAAAGAAAATACACAATGCTTAAAAATACATCATTTTGAAGAGAAAAATGGTAAAATCATCCTATTATTAAGCAATTTGTAAGTTGATTTCCCTGTCGAAATTATAAAACCTGTTCAAACAATAGTAGAAAAAAAGATTATATTCTTGTTTTGAAGCGTAACTAAAAAGTAAGATTTTTTATTTATTTTGTAATTTAAAAATGAATGCATCAATAGAGTTATAAATAAGATTTTAAAAATGAAATTATATTAAAAATACATAATAATATAATATTAAATAAAAACATTAAATATTAAAAAAGAAAACTATGGAATGTTTAGTTTGATTTCCCTGTCTAATTTATAAAACCTGTTTAAATAATAGCAGGAAAAAAAGCAGAAAAAATATTTGTTTTGAAGCAAAACTAAACTGTAGATTTTTTTTTGTTGTGTGATTTAAAAATGTACGCATCAATAGAGTTAAAAAATTTAAATATTAATGTATTAAAAATAAAAATGAAATATATTTAAAAATGGATCATAAAATGGAAAATAATATAATATTAAATACAAATATTAAATATTAAATAAGACATCTATGAAAGTGGCCAAATGTTAGTTAGAGTGCATGTTAGAAAGAGTGAGAGGTTTATGAATATTTGTGTTCATACAGGCTCAGATGGGTAATGATGAATGGTCACTGCATCTCAAATGGCAAATCGCTGTTCCAGTCTCACTTCACTGGACTCAAACACAGCCGCCAGTAAAAATAACCCTTGAAGCTTGTCAGATTCGCACAGGCAGACGACAGGAGACGCACACATATTGCATGTGCGAGATTCAGAGAATGTTAAAGCCTTTAAATGGCTGACCCACAAAGGCACTGGAAACCAAACTCGCTTCAGTATCTCATGCAGATCTGTGCTTCTGCTTGCAAATGGAGCTGAATGGCAGTTTCCACCCTTAACAGGCAGACTGGGACTGATAATTTGCAGAACATTTGTTGAACAAATTTGTTCTTCATTGAACAAGCAGGAGCACACACACACACAAACACGTATACACACACCCTGACCGGGCAAGGGTGTAATTACAGTGAGTTGTTGCAGTAATCTTGCTTTAACACTCACACTGATGCATGGAATCCATTATGAGAGACAAACTAAAGACTAGAAATCAGGGAGAAGCCAAAACGCTTCCCTATAAATGCCAGTTTTCCAGGTTTGAGCAGTCATAAAGCTCATTATTTTCCTGCAACAAGTACAATAAGCCATATCAGAGTCTGCTCACATGCACAAACATCACTAACAAAGTACCTTCATATAATAGTATGGTATATGAGCATGGTAATCATACAGTACTGTGGTAAATGTTAGATGGCTTGAAAAATAAATATTGGTACCATCATTTTACAGTTGTAATGTAAAATAAAATTATTACATTATTTTTCTTAAGTACTTTAAAAATATATATTTTAGTGAAATATTACACAGGTAATTTTCTTTTATTTTGTAATTTTTATATATTTTTTATATTTTATGTAATAATAAATGTTATTAATTATTTACTAACTATTTACTATTTATTATTAATAATTTTGTTTTTAGATTTTATGTTTATTTAATAATAGTAATTATTATTAATTATTTAATAATTATTATTAATAATATTTCATAATCATATTGATAGAATCATACCATTTTGGCCAAATTGTTCAGTAAACAATTACACAGCACACAGCAAACCTTGATTTATTTTATTTTATTTTAAAATCACATTTTAAATTGCAATCACAATTTTTTATCTGAAAAATTGCCTTTAGCAGCCCATAACTTTATTATGGTACTGCCACATTTTTTAAGGATTGACATGAAGGCTCCTTTTTAAAACCTAGTGAGTTACCTTGCTGTCTGCTATGCATCCTACATAAAATGGAACGCTATTAGTGTCTGTTTTGGAATGCTCTAAATAGGCAGCATTTAAATTATGACTTTTTTATCATTACTTCTCAGTACTGAAATGAATATAAATTAAATTCAACTTCAGTTGAGGATAAATGAAATGTAAATATATTTACATTGCTTACAATTACATATATTACATTACATTACATTTAGACATTTAGCAGACGCTTTTATCCAAAGCGATTTACAAATGTGGACAATGGAAGCAATCAAAATAAACAAAAGAGCAATGATATGCAAGTGCTATAACAAGTCTCAGTTAGCTTAATGCAGTACACATAGCAAGGTAGTTTTTTTTAAATCATATAATAAATAAAAAGAAAACAGATAGAATAGAAAAAGAATAGAACAAGCTAGTGTTTGAGGCCTTTTTTGCTTTTGTTAATCAGAAGAAGTCATAAATCAGAGAGTCAGAATTATAATTGTATAATAAATAAAAAGAAAACAAACAAATAGATAGAATGCAAAAAGATTAGAGAAGCAAGTGTTTTTTTTAAAGAAAACAAGCAGTTAGTAAATAAAAAGTGCAAGTCTAAAAGGGGCACGTTTTTTAATTTTTTTATAAAGAATAGAATTAGAATAGAGTGTGCTAGAGTTAGAGGGTCAAATAAATATGGAAGAGATGTGGTTTTAGCCGATTCTTGAAGATGGCTAAGGACTCAGCTGCTCGGATTGATTTGGGCGGGTCATTCCACCAGGAGGGAACATTTAATTAAAAAATCTGTGAAAGTGATTTTGTGCCTCTTTGGGATGGCACAATAAAGCGACGTTCACTTGCAGAATGCAAGCTTCTAGAGGACACATAAGTCTGAAGTAATGAATTTAGGTAAAGGGGTGCAGAGCAAGTGGTGTTTTTTTTAGGCAAACATTAATGCCTTGAATGTTATGCGAGCAGCTATTGGCAGCCAGTGCAAACTGATAAACAGAGGTGTGACGTGCATTCTTTTCGACTCATTAAAAATGTATCTTGCTGCCGCGTTCTGGATTAATTGTAAAGGTTTGATAGAACTGGCTGGAAGACCTGCCAAGAGAGCATTGCATTATTATATATGCCTATATAAATGTAAAACAATACTCATTAGTTCCTTCATCTTAGTTTCCAACCCTCAATGCATTCTGGGATTGCCAAAGGATACATGCAATGTTGGCTTAAAAATTGCTCAAAGAATGTATCTTTTGGAACAGACTTCAAGTCTAGAAGGTTTTTATGATACAGCCCACGTATGCAGCTCGCTAGTTTTTGGAAAAGAGCCCTGGACTTCTGATGACCTCCCATATACTTCAATTGTTCTTACATCAAATAGTTTATAATTACCACATCCTAATCTACATTTTGGATTTCATACATTATGTGGTCGATTTATGAATCTTCTTAAAAGCCCTAACAAATCAGTTTTAAGACATTTGTGAGGATATCTTCAGAAATGTATCACATGAGTAAGTTCTATTTAAGTACATAAGACCTTGAGTCCAATTACATAAATGCTTGTTTTCCCAAACAGCGATTTTGAATGTTTATCTTAAATTAAAGTCATTTTTTTCCTCCAAGGAGTAAGGTCAGAGTAAACTCACATCTGTTTCATATATTGTACACAATTCATTATCCAAAACAATGGTTCAGTGTTTTTCATTTTAGCAGGTTCATGCTCAGTTTCATAATTGCTTGTTGACTAACTATAAACATTCTTTAATATAGCCTATTATAAAAATAATAATATGAATACTTACACTACACATCGTCCTTTATGGCATTCAGTGTGACACTACACTACTTCTAAAAAGCTCTTGTTCTTTTTTATGTTCAATATCTATCTAGACTTTATATGAGAGAATTTGACTATCAAAGATGTGACAACTTGCCCCGGTATCTCCTCTAGCATAACATGCACGCACACACAGATGTTCACTACAATAACGGAGAAAATTAGAGCAGCTGGTGAGGTCGTAGGTTCAAACCCCAAAAGCCTTGATGAACTATCCACTATTGTTCCTGAACCGCTTCATGAATCATGAACTACAACCATGTGCCTTTGATCAAGACAGTTAACCTCAGGTCATTCTAACAAGACTCAATCTGTAAAAAGTGACCTGAAGATACTGAATACGACTGGAACGACTAATTAGTAAATGAGCAGCCTACATTGCGCTTCGAGTCCGTGCGCTCCGGTAACCGGTCACCGGTCACCAGTGCGCGCGGCGCGGCGCGGCTCCATCTGTCAGAGATTCAGCCGAAGCGAAAGCAAAAGATGTATTTCCCAAATGTATCCACATGAAACGCGTCCAACCTGCACACATCAGCGAGCATCTGTCCTTTTCCACAGCACATGTGTAGTATGGACGCACCATAAGTGCCTGTAGATATCCAGTGCATGTTTCCGCTTTAATAAGTTTGATTATGCTGATGCTATATAGATGCATGTAGCCTATTACATGCAACCTGCCGCTTATAAAAAACACTAGATCTTACCTAAAGGAGGCTGATTTTAAATGACAGCTGGAGAGTCTGGTGTCTTGTGTTGGTGAAGGTCTGACAGAGAGACACACGCACATTGAGGAGCGCGTACTGCTCTCTCTCTCTCTCGCTCTCTCACGCATCACTATACAGCGATGAGACCTGCGCGCGCACACTTCAAATAAAATTAAGCTTTTTTTTCATACATTTCTGAAAGGATATAGGCATTTCCGGAACCCAGGACGTAATAGTTAAAATATATAGAGATGTCACAAACATTAGGTGAGGGATATTGTTGACTGTATTTCAAATGTATTAAGTGTAGCCTACGTTTATATACAGTAAGCTATATTCGGTCGTTCATAATCGCCAAACAGTGTTGGGGAGTAACTAGTTACATGTAACGGGATTACGTCATTTAATTACAAAAATGTAACTGTAATCTGTTACAGTTACTGAACAAAATGTGTAATTAGATTACAGTTAGGCTACCTATGAAAATGTTAACGATTACAAAGGGGGTTAATTCTGAATATTATCACACATATACAAATTTGATTGATTTCGTTACAAAATTGCAATGACTGCTCTACAATATGAGACACCAATGTTTCAGGAGTTTAGGACACAGAATAGGACACATGCTGATTCGATAACTGTTTTATTTCCTATTTGGGGTTATGTATAGGCCTATTCTTTATTTTTTTAAATTAGGCTAATTGTTTTTTTTTTCCCAAGGCATTGTTAGATGCCAGTGTTAGCATACCTGTCGTAGCTATGCAAACATGTAATTTCAAAAACAGTATCGTACCTATTCAACTAGCCTATATATTGTTATGTTTTTAAATCTGTTGGCTACTTAACCTCAGAATGAAAACAGGTGCTAAAGTCAGATTTTGGTGGCTGTGCTTTCAAAATATTTTTTTTATAATCTTAATTCAAGTGATGAAAGATTTTGAAAGTCTGACAGTAATCAGTGTTGAGTAGCCTACTACTGTTAAGGTTAACCCTGCCTGATTTAAATGTTTGAAAAAGATTTACAGTTTAGAAAAAAATATATAGATAGCTATTTTTAGCCTAAATTTAGAAAAGTAATCAAAAAGTAGTCACATGTAATCAGTTACATTACTTTAATAAAGTAATTGAAATAGTTAGACTACTTGTTACATTTTAAATAGGGTAACTTGTAATCTGTAACCCATTACATTTCCAAAGTAACCTTCCCAACACTGTCGCTAAATAAATAAATAAGTCTACAATATTGGCCACCTGACCTGACCATACATTATTCTGCTTATTACACGGCTAGTTGCCAATTAAATTCATGTAGGCCTATATCAAATATAGATTTAGCCTACAGCACGTAGGCTATATTACATAGCCTATATTTTATATCATTATTAATTTTTGATTATAACTGAATTTATCTACGTTAAGTTATTTTTATCCAGCCCTCCGTACATCTTCGTTGTTGTTGTTTTTCTCCCAAGCGATGTTTCGTTCTATGTTTTCATACAAATCAAAATTTATGTTCAGTGTCAAAAAGTAATAGCTACTTAAGTCCACATGCCATTTATTCTAGTCAGAGGATAACCGTTAGATGGCGCCAATTAGCTATTCAAATTTCTGACGTATTCCAAGTTCAAGCATTTGAATGGAGAGAGCGCATGGAGTCGTACGCGACTGAGAGATCGGTTTCCCGGATGGATGAACGTCGATTGTTTAGATTTTTGATCAGTGAATGCGCAGATTGACAAAACCAGAATTAGGTATTCCGTGGAATATTGCCATACGTCAAAATATTCGAGCTTTTATTCTGTTGGTTACAGTAAAATGTTCTGATAACAGCTCTGTCTTCCAACTGAGGCAAGAATGGCAGAACAAACCACTATCACGGTAACACAAGAAACGAAAATAATACACTAAATAATATACAAATACAACATATAGACTAGGCCTACTACAGTATTTTATAGGACATGTGGCATCAGAATTAACTTTTTAAATATAAAAAATGTTTCCACATAAATGATAAGGTAATTCCTGCTTTCACCAACTGTGACCTGCTGGATGATAAAAACAATTCCACACTAGAGACCTGAATAATATAGAATGGTGGACTTGGCCCACTAAGCAACCACCCCAAACACCTTAGCAACTGCATAACAATGCCCTGGCAACCACCCACAAATGCAGTGAGGGTTCTGTAAAGCACCACTCACATGTTTTTGAGGAAATGTCTACTTACTCATCCACAAATGACCTGCATGCAACAGTGTTTTTAACACAAAAACACATTTATTCCAGTAGAAGAACAGAAATGGATACAAATCTATAATCATTCGTCTTAATCTTGCTCTTTTTCTGAAGTGTTACTGCCTTGAAATTTAAAGTATAATGCTTAGATTTACAAACACACACAGCTTAGGGTCTTTTATATACCACAGCAACATAAAATCACATTCTTATTATAATTACTGCTCCACAAATTACCTGCCTGTAATGTTCACTGAATCAATTTCAACAGTAATTTAAACACAATAAAAAAACTTTCTTGTAACTCAAAAAATCTATTTACAGATGTAATGCAGCGTAAATGTTTAATGTTTCACATGCATAATCTTGAGCTTAATGCTGCTCTGTTTTGTTGAGGTTTCATAGCCTTGAAGTTTAAATTCTGTTATTAACACTCAGATTTACACAGGCTGTTTTATGTACCACCTTAACATAAAATCACATCCTAATTTTCATTAGGGGCTTATTGTTCCACAATTTACCCGCCCATAATGCTCATTGAATGATTCTCAATAGTAATTTAAACACTAGAAAGTTTGTTCTATTTAGAGATTTTATAGGGCCATAAATGTTTAATATTTTGCTTGCATATTCTTGATGTTGCTCTATTTCTGTTTAGCGAAAATTGAAGTGTAATTGCCTTTTAATTGCCCTGAAGTTTATAGTCTGTCAGAGGATATTGCTTGGGAGTTTCAGCGTATATCAAGAACTTTATGCGGAAAAGTTTCCAGTAGGCCTATCGCCTAATAATCTACTTGTAATCCCCTATAGCTATATACATAATGATGAATGTGTGCCATGTAAACTGTAACCTGGGTTTGTAAATGGGTTCCCACATGACCCACAATACATTGCTGTCAGCTCATTTCCCGAGTGTAATTTGCGAGTGTAATTTCAGCAGGGATCCAGCTCCAATCTGTTTATTTCTAATTTTACCGTATACATAGAATAACAATGACTGGGAGAATATTTGCCTCGCACGCAGCCCCAATAACCGGAGAAGATGAATGCGTGGCATAGTGCTTTCATAGCTGCGAGTCTGTGTGTGCGTTCATTACAACGCCCCAGTTTAGCTGCCTCCTCTCCTCTGCCGTTGATGGTATCTTATTGTTACCAGGTGGCTGCCAGTGAAAGGAGCGTTGAAAAACTGCTGACAATAAGCCACGGCTCAAAGGAAAACGCGAAAAAGGAGGACACGCGAGCAGTGTGGTTCTTCCTCGCGAAGGCGTAGGGGGTGAGGAAACCGTGTTAGAAGGGAAAGGAACGAGATCCACGGGGAAACGTTCCAGCGAGTTCCTGTGCTTTAGATGATGGTTCATAAACTACCATCATCCTCGAGGGCCTGGGGAGCCCAAGCTGAAAGACTTCAGAAGTGCCAATAAATGAAAAAGTGAGAATTAGAGGAAAGTTTGGTGAGCCGAGGGGTGTAATGGAGACCGATGGACCATGGGAAAGAAACCCCCCTGAGGAAGAAGTGAGGTCTCATCATGTGAAAGATCTCTGTCATTCATTGAGAGGGTTTGTGTGCCGTCGTACTAAACAGCTGTGGAAAATGAGCACTCATTGATTTCATGCATATGGCACCCACGCATGTAAACACACACACACACACTGAAGACTCCGTCACTAGGCTACAACACAGCCATCCTAGCGTAATAAAGCGTTATTTTCCGTTCTAATTTAGGAATTTCTCTCATTCAATGCCATGTATCACACACGATTGCACGCATCAAATGATTATCTCTGCATCACGACACCAAGACCATTTTTCTCCAAGAATCCGAGAAGAGTTATTTGATCTGCTGTGAAACAGCATTCCCTTGAGCGCAGACGTGACAAAGAACATCCAGCAACACGAGATTTTAGTGTAAAACAGGAAGAACAAGGCTACAGATGGACTGCAGTGTGTCTGGTGAACATGCTGTTACTTAAACAAAATCCTGCAGGCATGCAGCGTGAATATCATATTTTAGGATAGGCACGGATCTGTTTATTAGGCTACTGTACTGCCTCCTGTAATTGAGATTAATGCAGTTCAGTGGGCATAGCAGGAAAGATGCCAACATTTTAATCCGATCCTCGGTACCAGGTGAGTTTTCAATAGCAGAGTAATAGAAAACTTCTGATTCTGCGTACAACTACAAACTGATGTGCTCTTAACCTACTTGCAACGCATAAAAATAGATTCCTTTTCTAGTTGAATTAGTTGGTTATGTAGACAGATTTACTGCTAATCCCCAAGGGACAAGCAGCTGTTTCCCTTTTTTTTTTTTCTAACACAATTGTGCCCTCTAGTGACGCTGTCTTGAAAACAGCATAACACAAAATGGGCGCATATGGTCATTAGCAAGTCACAGCATAATGTTACAATCCAGATATGTGAAACTAGCTGCTGTTACAAATGGTACAAATCATCCTTTCACAACTAAATGCTATAAATCAATATCAATTAAAATATCATTTTTTATTTTGTGTGTAAATAACTTCAAAAATGTTATCTAAAAACTATATAACTAAACAAATGTAAGTGATTATATACCCCTGTATATTTCATAATGTGAAATATACCAAAAAAGCATGGAAGTGCCATAGATCTTCAAATAATGTATAATAATAATCAGTAATCTACTAAACATGTAGTACAGAGATTCATAAAATTAATCTATTAAGTGTATGTTGTTGGATAATATTTAAAATAATTTATAAATGGCCGATATAATATTTAAATTATCCGATTTCTGACTCTTGTTTGAATTGATGAACCAAGGTAGTACTATAATACTGGCAGGCCATGCTTTTGTTTGAAATATTTTTGAAATAGGCTACTTGTTTTTCTTAAGCACCCAACACTATAATTATGTGAAAATACGTGGATAACAAAACCTTTTATGCTGGTCTCAAGATGATATGAATCCGTTAACGTTAACATTTAGATCGTGTTTCTGAGCAACTTCAAGTGTATTTCATGAGAGAGACTCGTGTATTTTTAAGGTTCTGCGCAAGTTTTGCGCAGAGTGGATGCGCACGAACACACAGCGGTCTTATCACAGAGGAGGCGTAAAAACGTTATTGTGTTCATCTGTGTCGGGCGAATTCTAACGTTACCGATCAATTTTAGTCAGTAAACGAACAATGAGTGATCATCCGGTGACTAGCAGATGAGCCAAATCTGATCGTCGCTGAAAGAAAGAGGCGAAATCTCGGCTATTTTGTCAGGTGAGTGAACTGAAAGACATTCGGACAAGACGCAGCAAAATCACCAAATATATAAATATTTATTCAAGTAACCCAACTGATGATAACAATATGTGATCTTATATGCTTGTAGTTTATAAATCGATCATTTGAAACGGTTTAGGGACTGTATTTTAATGTGAAATAAGGCTGTTCTTGCTGTGTTTTGGTCAGGGGTGGTGGCCTGTCTACAGGCCTCAATCTGATCTATCAATGATCTGAGCTCAACATCAGCACATACAAAGCCTCATAAATCTCATTCATTCCGTGTGTGTAGTTAGATTTATCAATATGATACCTACAAGTGTAAATAGGCAGATTTCTGTCATTCTTGTTTGAGTTGTTGATGGATTTGGGCCTGTAATGCAATATAAAAACACATTTGTCAGTTTAACCGCTAAATGTAACCCGGTTTGTTTAATCCAAATATGTATATTTATCATGAGAATATATTAATATTGTTTTATTAAAAATGATGTAATTTTTTAGCTGTTGTTGGTGTAAATTTAATATTATTTAATTATTTTGTAGGTTGAAACCATTTAAAATATTTTAGTGTAACGTTTGTTAAATATGTACATATAACATATATTTTTTATGGCTAATATTTATTTAAACATTTGAACATGAGTAACTTAATTATTTAGCAAATATTAGTATTACTACTTTTCAGTAAATAGATGATGTATTTTACTGATTTAAGTTTATGAATTTTAAATGTAAATCGTTAAATATTAATCTTCATTTGTATTATTTAAAAACTATTCTTGTAAATTTGATGGTTTCAACCAGTCAGACATTTTAGTTTAACATTTGATAACAAATATAACTGATTCTTTATAGCTGGTATTCATATAAATGTTTGCAAAAAATATATTTTATTGCTGTTATTTATCATAACAGTGTGTTTAACCTAACGTAACATAAAAGTAATGTCTGATATTCTAGTGTATTCTGTACCAGCATCATAAAATGTCCCGTAAATGGTTTGGCTGTAAAGGATTTGGGTCATGATATATTTAGATAATTTCTGCATCTGATTTGGGACAGTTGCCATTATGAGCATACACAGGTTGACCTTTCAAGCCAGACTGTTATGTTTGAGTCAGTTTTATAAATTTATAATGGTAAACAAAGATTTGAGTGTAAATTAAGAAATCTTGTCAAGAGAACAACATAGTATAGTTCTTCCTCTCGTTCGTTGTGCTTCTGGTTTCAATGAATGTGCTTTCAAATATTTACAACTCTTTATTTTATGTGTTGCACAAGACTTTGGTTTTATATTGACAGATAATACATGAATGGCACTCTTTCTTGTAAAAGTGGAGTAATACTTATCAGAGAGACTGGAAATGCTAAAGCTTTAATCAAACATAGCAACAATGAACAAAGAACTCAAGATAGCACTGTTTACCCGTAACTTTTGTCGACTTGGGCAACATAGTTTGGTAAACAGTGCCCCATTTGTTACATCTGCTTACATACCGCTGACGTTAGCTTGTGTAGGCAGCGCATTTCTCCAAACTTGTGTTTCCATGCATCTTTTCCTGTGAAATCATTTTGTTTTTATTTTCTTCACAGCATGGCTAGTTGCGGTGAGGTTAATCTTTCAGTGGACTCCCTGACTTCAGGCAAGAAGGTGAGTGGGGAGTCTGTGACAGAGGGAAGTCCGTCCCCTTCGTCTCCTTCGCTGCCCATTCCAGAGTGTGCAATCTGTCTGCAGAGCTGCGTCCACCCCGTACGCCTGCCATGCCACCATATTTTCTGCTTCCTTTGCGTGAAAGGAGCTTCCTGGCACAGCAAACGCTGCGCCCTGTGTAGAGGGGAAGTGCCTGAGGACTTCCTGGAGCGTCCCACTTTGCTCTCGCCCGAGGAGCTGAAGGCTTCGGCGACGGGTGGACGTGGGACGGGGACTGGTGGCCACGCCTGGTACTACGAGGGACGTAATGGATGGTGGCAGTACGATGAGCGGACAAGCCGAGAGCTAGAGGACGCGTTCAACAAGGGCAAGAAGAGCGCCGAGATGCTGATCGCCGGCTTCCTGTACGTGGCCGACTTGGAGAACATGGTGCAGTACAGGAGGAACGAACACGGCCGCAGGAGGAGGATGAAGAGGGATGTGGTGGACATCCCTAAGAAAGGTGTGGCTGGATTAAGACTCGATCCAGATCCCAATCCCAGTCCCGCATCGGGATCAGGAACTGTTCCCGCTGCAGCGCCCGCAGTTGTGGATTTAAATGGAACAGTAGATGGCGCCACAGCGGAGCGAGAGAGTTCGGCAGATGGCGCGGACACTGGAGTCAGCGGAGGACGTCCTCAAGGTGTCTTTGCTTCTGCTCCCGTAAGGCCGCCAACTGTCTTGGGCGGTCACCTGACCAGCCCTGCTTCCTCCGGCGATATTCAGCTTGTACAGGCTCTCTCTCAACTCAATATGAATCCCACCGAGCAAGAAACAGAAGAGGAAGACGCAGATGACGAAGACGATTCGGCTGCTCCGGATCCCTCGGGGTACGAATCCGAGTCTGGCACGAGCGAGGATGAAGATGAGCAGGCTGGGGACGAAGGTGAAGACGAGCACACAGAAGGCTCCCAGGGCAGGCATAGACTGCATCAGTTGGACAGACCGCCCCCTGGTGGTGGCCCGGCGCATAGCGGGAATCGCTCTGGGTGCCCCGACGGTCAGTGCACCGTTACGAAGGTCTGACCGCAGCACAACTACAGAACTCCTACCCAACTCCCACAACCGCTGGGTATTTCTAACCAATCTCTGAAATGCAAAAAATTAAACGAATGAACCATTCAAATCAATGAAACACGGTCTTGGATAAGGGTGGAGGATTGGGGCGGATGGTTTTAGTGTAAGAATAGTGCTTGTCTTTCTCTTTCAGTCTTAGAGGACTGTACCAGGGCTGTACTTTTTAATGGAAATTACAGGCAAAACTACAATAAACTTGCTTTTATCATGCCTAGAATACTGTAAATTGGTCCAACCATTACACTTTAATTTGCATTCATGTAATTGTATTCACAATAAAACTACTTTTCTCCCTGAAATTAAAAGGAAAGTGTATAAAGTATATTTTGCACAAGCCTGTTTTAAGCCTTTTGTGAGCATTAAGATTTGTTTTCATAACAATTACGCACATTTCATCCTAAACTCTCATTACTCTAATGCATTTGTTTTATTAGTTATTATTCTCAGTGCTGATTTTCATTTGATTCTTATTACTGTGCTACAGACATTTATCTAAAAGTTGTATTTATTATTATTGCATTAATGAGAATTTGCTTAATTGTACACAATTTCACAATGCAAAGAAATCTTAATGATCTACAGTACAGGCTTCACCTTTATGTATTTAAAAAAAAATTTTTTTTAATTGTTTTTTTCTTTTGATTTTTAGGGTGAAATGTGACCCAAACATGTTCTTCAGGTTCCTGTTTTCCAGTCATGAGATTGCATTACATCTAGAATGGCTCAACACCATTATTCCATTGGTTATGGAGTCATAGAGTAATAATGTGCTGTGGTGTAATGAAATTAAAATCTTTTCATAAAAATATGCCATATCAGCTTTTACCCTGAGGCTTCTGCAATGCCATCAGAAAATAATTGGTTTTAATGATAAAATAAAATTGTATCTCTTGGTAGGAAACCCATATGCATTGCATCTTTACTAGTTTTATTATTTGAATATCGCAATTGTGCTGTAGATCAAAATGCCTGACTTTATAATTTGCAAACAAGTGGTAAGAAAGCCTTGGGTTGTTTTGATGAAATGACAAGCATTAGATGCAAAACCAGCATAATTTCAAATGCAAAACCTAACGAGAAAAGAATTTATTGTAGTTTTGCCAAGGATTCCTCTTTAACACGCTCTAGTCATTAGAAAACCTTCAGTCATCTTACATTTACTACTTCTAGTGATTCATGATGTGAGGTTTAAAACTCTTTAATGGCACGTGTGTGTGCATTTGCGTTTATTTTAAGTAACTTGTCTTTATTGTCTCAGTCTCATCTTGGTGTGCTTTATCTATTTCATGGATTTGCATGTGTTGCTGTGAGCAAGGATGGAGCCCTGGACTATGGCGCTTTGAACTCTGGGAAAGGCGAGTTTCATCATATTGTAATTTCTAGATGTAAAGTAGTCCTCACACTGCAGCACACCGAGTGAGTGAGTGGTTTTCAAGCATAGGTGTCCGATTTGAAGTTTTTAATTTTAATGTTATTTTTAACCCTGCTAATTCTCATCTCCATTTGTTCAGGTTCTTTGTTGTCAACAAAACAAAATGAAACCTAAAATCAAGAATAACTTCTTTTTGGTGTATTTTTATTTAAACTGTGTTTTGTTGTAAAACCAGGTTTATCTGAGAAATAAAGTGTTGTCTGTTACCTGTCTGAGATCAAACTGTCCTCATGTATATTTTTTTAGTTTAAGGTTTACTTTACCTTAAAGAATGTTGATTATTTTGCATTTTTCCACCTACTAATATTAGTAGTCATAGTCTAAACATGCTAAAACTGGAATTAGCCACCAAAGCTCAGTTTCAGAAATCAGCAACACTATCAGAACTTCAAAGATGTTTCATTACAGCAGACAGTTGAAAAAACTGATTTGCAGATGTAAAACTTTCTGAATAAGTTTTGTTCTAATAAGGTTTGAACCAGAGGTGCTATTAAAATATCTGTAGTTCTTCTAGGAATAGTTCTTCCTGAATAGTGCATGACTGTCTGTAAAACATGGGTAAGTGGGATTGTGACAAATAAAGTGACATAGAATATAGTCATGACAGTCTCAGTGATCAGTATTATGGTGAGGATTTCGTTCTACTCTTCAGACATAGTGGAGTCCGAGGTGCATGAACCTAGGCGTCTCCCAGGATAGACCCCTGCGGCACTCCAGTAAACTCGTTAAACTGTCCGCAGTGACCCAAATGACACACCCTCCTCTTGTCTGCCAGACAGACATCTGTCATTGCATCTCTATCCCACCACTACAGGGGGGATGGATTGATGGATCTACAGTAGCATCTCACTCCTTGAATAGCAAAGGGAATGTTTGTATAGTCACTGTTCATCTTCATAGCTTCAACCAAACTTGGCAGCCTGATATTTCAGGATGAGCTTTGGGCCTTTATGGTCTTACTTTGTGGATCGAACATGTATTTATTGTGCGTGTGGATGTGTATTTAAGGACAATGTCCTGTCTCTGGCTGATGGCATTTAGCGAACATGTTGGCTCAGTGTCTGAGATAATCTCATTCGGTAATGTCTGTGTAATCATTAATAACTTTCATATGACACCTCACTGCGCTGATGACAGCTCATTTTCTGCTGTGCTCTGGTCACGGCGCCGGCAAGTATGCATGGGTCATTCCCCTGGATCATATCACAGTCTGCTTTTTAACCAGTCAACGGTTTTAAAGGCACGGTATCCAGGGTATAAGGCTGTCTGTTCACTTTAAAAGTTGTAGGAACTGCTAGTAAAGTTCACAAATAATTACAAGAAACAGCAAGTAACACATTGAATGCAACATAAAACAATGGCGTTTCCTTGTAAAACAATCTAATAATGTTTTATTTTCAACTTCAACACACACACACACACACACACACACACATATATATATATATATATATATACAGTCATGGCCAAAAATATCGGCACCCTTGGTGAATATGATCAAAGAAGGCTGTGAAAATTAATCTGCATTAATCCTTTTGATCTTTTATTAAAAAAATTCACAAAAATCTAACCTTTCATTGGGTAATAAGAATTTAAAATGTAGGGAAATATCATTATGAAATAAATGTTTTTCTCTAATACACATTGGCCACAATTAACGGCACCCTTTTATTCAATACTTTTTGAAACCTCCATTTGCCAGTTTAACAGCTCTAAATTTTCTCCTATAATGCCTGACAAGAGATCAGAGACCATTCCTTCATCCAGAATCACTCCAGAACCTTTAGATTCCCAGCTCCATGATCGTGCTTCTCCTCTTCAGTTCACCCCACTCATTTTCTATAGGGTTCAGGTCAGAGGACTGGAATGGCCATAGCAGAAACTTGGTTTTGTGCCCAGTGACCCATTTTTCTGTTGTTTTCGAGGTTTGTGTTTGGATTATTGTACGTTTGGAAGATCCAAACATGGCCCATTATAAGATTTCTAACAGAGCCAGTCACTTATTGATTTTTTTATCTGTTGGTATTTGATAGAATCAAAGATGTCATGTATCTAAACAAGATGTCCAAGACCTCCAGCAGAAATATAGGCCCACTACATTAAAAATACAGCAGTATATTTCATTGTACACATGGGGTACTTTTTATCCCAGTGTGCACCAAACCCATCTTGAGTGTTTGTTGCTAAAAAGCTCATTTTTTATTTACATCTGACCATAGAAGCCAGTCCCATTTGAAGTTCCAGTCGTGTCTGACAACTGAATATGTTGGGGATTGTTTTTTGGCGGAAGCATTTTCTTTTCTTGATTTTTTTTTCTTGAAGCCCTCCCAAACAACATGTAGGTGCTGTTTGATCATTTTTTAAAAGGTTTTCTGACCCTGAGACTCAACTATTTTCTGCAATCCTCCAGCTGTGGTCCTTGGAGGGTCTTTAGCCACTCAAACTCTCCTCCTCACCGTGCATTAGGACGATATAGACACACGTCCTCTTCCAGGCAGATTTGTAACATTTTCTGAATTTTTCTTGAAACCCTCCCAAACAACATGTGGTGATGTAGGTGCAGTTTGACAATTTTTTTTTACGGTTTTCTGATCCTGAGACTCAACTATTTTCTGCAATCCTCCAGCTGTGGTCCTTGGAGGGTCTTTAGCCACTCAAACTCTCCTCCTCACCGTGCATTAGGACGATATAGACACACGTCCTCTTCCAGGCAGTTTCGTAACATTTTCTGTTGATTGGAAATTCTTAATTATTGCCCTGATGGTGGAAATGGGAATTTTCACTGCTCTAGCTCTTTTCTTAAAGCCACTTCACTAATTTGTGAAGCTCAATTATCTTTTGCTGCACATCAGAAATATATTCTTTGGTTTTTCTCATTGTGATGGATGATTAAGGGAATTTGGCCTTTGTTTTCCCTCCTATTTATATTTCTGTGAAACAGGAAGCCATGGCTGGATAATTTCATGTTCATAATCACCCTGGAGTGCTCAAAATTGTGAATATGAATGAGAATATACTTCAGAGATATTTTACTCATAAGAATTTCTAGGGGTGCAAATAATTGTGTCCAACGTGTATTTGAGAAAAACATTTATTTCATAATGAGATTTCCCCCCATTTTAAATTCTTATTATCCAATGAAAGGTTAGATTTTTTTTTTTTAATAAAAGATCAAAAGGATTAGCGATGCAGATTCATTTTCACAGCCTTCTTTGATCATATTTACCAAGGGTGCCGATATTTTTGGCCATGACTGTATATATACACAGACACATATATACAGTTAGGTTCATATATATTTGGACACTGACATGAAATTGAAGTGCAGACTTTAAGCTTTAATTCAAGGGGTAGAACAAAAATATAACATAAAATGCTTAGGAATTACAACCATTTTTATACACAGTCCCCCCATTTTCAGGGGCTCAAATGTAATTGGACAAATAAATAAAATCATAAATAAAATTTTCATTTTTGATATTTTGTTAAGAATCCTTTGCAGGCAATGACTGCCTTAAGTCTGGAACTCATGGACATCACCAAAGACTGGGTTTCCTCCTTTGTGATGCTTTGCCAGGCCTTTACTACAGCTGACTTCAGTTGTTGTTTGTTTGTGGGTCTTTCTGCCTTTAGTTTTGTCTTCAGCAAGTGAAATTAATGCTCAATCGGGTTGAAATCAGGAGTTTGACTTGGCCATTTCAGAATATTCCACTATTTTACCTTTTAACTCCTGGGTTGTTTTTGCTATATGTTTTGGGTCATTGTCCACTTGTACTATGAAGCGCCACCCAATAAACTTTGCTCCAGAATCTGGGCAGAGAGTATATCCCTATACACTTCAGAATTCTTCCGGCTGCTTCTGTCCTCTGTCACGTCATCAATAAACACCAGTAACCCAGTGCCACTGGAAGCCATGCACGCTCATGCCATCACACTGCTCCACATGTTTCACAGATGATGTGGTATGCTTTGGATCATGAGCTGTTCCAAGCCATCTCCACTTTTTTCTTCCCATCATTCTGGTACAGGATGATCTTAATTTCAGCCGTCCAAAAAATGCTTTTCCAGAAGTGGTCTGGATTTTTTTAGATGTTCTTGGCAAAGTCTAATCTGGTGGTGAACCCTCTGTATTTGACAGTGACACGTCTACCTCCTGGAGAGTTTTCTTCTCTTGGCTGGATGTTGTGAAAGGGTTTTTCTTTACCATGGAGAAGATTCTCCGATCATCTATCACTGTTGTCCTCCGTGTACGGCCATGCTTTTTTATGTTGCTGAGCTCACCAGTGCATTTTTTTTCTCAGAAAGTACCAAACTGTTGATTTGGTCACTCCTAATGTTCCTGCTATCTCTCTGATGGATTCGTTTTGATTATGAAGCCTAGCAATTGTCTTTTTCACTTGTATGGAGAGATCCTTTGACTGCATGATGTGGGTTCAGAGCAACAGCTTCCAAATGCAAATGGCACACTTAAAATCATTTCCAGAACTTTTACCTGCTTAATTGATGTAGAAATAACAAAGGAATCGCCCACGCCTGTTAATGAAACCGCTTTTGAGTCAATTGTCGAATTACTTATGGTCCCTTGATAAAGGGGGAAGTTACATATTAAAGAGCTGTGCTTAACCTTTCCTCCAATTACGATGTTAATACCCTCAAATTAAAGATCAGAGTGTGCACTTTAAGCCCATATTCATTATAATATGTTTTGGTCAGCAGCTAAAATAATAAAAATTGTGCCTGTCTTACTCTTTCCTAGTTATCAAACACTCTGACAGAGTTCTCTCTGGTGTTTAGGTGCCTGACGTTTTTTCATCTTAAAGGTGTGTATCATCACCAAACAGTATAATAATCACTGTTTTCAAACAGGTTTCCCCAACAGTTTTCCTGACAGCCATTGGTTGGACAAACAGGTATCTTCCCTAAATTTGTGCATATTATTGAGTGTTATTGTGATGGGCCCATTTGGATGTTCAAAACTACAGACTCATGTGTTGTCTGGTTTTTATAATGAGTTGATTTTTCATAGTTTTCGGCATTTTGCTGCACATTTAAGTGTGAGTACTTTTACACAATTTTGTTTAATGTGTAAGGTCATCTGAATGACCTAAACTCTCACTCTCACTCTCTCTCTCTCTCTCTCTCTCTCTCTTTTTTTCTGGTCAAGAAAAGGTCATAAATAGTTCAAGCAAAAGCTGATTTATGCTTTTTGATTTATA